AGCCCATGTCAAGTACACTGATGCCTTCAATGGTGGGAGGTACTCAGCAACCATCACTTGGGATAAATCTCTCTCAAACTGTTCAAGTAAAACTTGATAGAAACAACTTTCTTTTCTTGGAAAAATATGGTCATGCCAATCATCAGAGGACACAACCTTGAGTGCTTCATCACGGGAGCAAAGGCCTGTCCACCTGAGTTCATAGCCACTCAAACCACCGGATCTGTTGGTACAACTGTGGAAATGGTTCATAACGCTGAGTACATAAAGTGGATGTCTACTGACCAGCTATTAATGGGGTGGTTATACTCCTCAATGACATCGGAAATAGCTATGAGACTAATGGGATCATCGAGCTCTTGTGAACTCTGGAATGCAATCCAGGAAAGCTTCGGAGTCTTGAACAAATCAAGGATAATTTTCCTTGTGAGTGAGCTTCAAAGGACTAGGAAAGGATCAATGACAATTGATCAGTATCTCAACACCATAAAGCAATTGGCAGACAATTTGGAGATTGCTGGTAAGACAGTGCCTCACGGTGATTTAGTCACACAAGTATTGGCTGGTTTGGATGAGTACACTCCCATTGTAGTTCAAATCAATAGTAGAGATTCCATCTCTTGGCATGAGTTACAATCAGTCCTGATGACTTATGAAAGTAGGATTGAACACCTTAATGCTGTGAAAAATAGCTTGCTTCTATCAACTTGAGCCAGTCATCTGCAAATTTTGTTCATAGATCAAGTAGACGAGGAAGATTCAATTCCAGTGGTAGAGGCTATAGTAACAGAGGTGGTAGAAACTGAGGGAGAACAATAACATGATCAACTGGTAGCAAGGGACCTTGTCGCTAAACCTGAGATGCACTATCAGACTAACTCATCTGTACTAGCAGCATTTGTGGCTTTATCAAACACTATTACAGACCCTGCTTGGTTTGCAGACTCTGGGGCAAACCATCATGTTACTGGTGGAAAAGAAAATCTGATGGACCCACAAGAATATGGTGGTAAGGAGAGACTCATTGTTGGAAATGGTAATAACCTTCATATTTCTCGCATCGGCACAAATCACTTAAGCACTTTAGACAGCAGGTCACTAGCTCTAAAAAATGTTCTGTTAGTACCTTCAATCAAGAAAAACTTGATAAGTGTTTCACAATTAACCGCTGATAATGCTGTCTTCATGGAATTTCACGCCGATTTTTGTGTTGTTAGGACAAACAATTGAAGAAGGTGCTGCTAGAAGGGACGCTTAAAGACGGACTATATCAATTTGAATTTCAAAATCAAGATGAAAAGCCTTACTACCAAGACTCAGTTGCCTCAAATAAATTAAATCCCTTTGTCTTTACTGCTAAGTCTAGAACATCTGAAGCTATTATTCGAAATGAATCAAAGTTTAAACAATGGCACCTAAGACTTGGACATCCATCAGGTCCTGTAATGTCACAAGTTCTTAATTCAAGTAATGAAAAGCTCAATATCAATGAAATTAGTCATTTCTGTGATTCGTGTCAGCTTGGCAAATCTCATTCATTGCCCTTTAAACTTTCCAACTCTCGTGATCCAGCTCCTCTTGATCTAATCCACAGAGATGTGTGGGGACCTGCACCTATCCAATCCACTTCAGGTTTTAGATATTATATAATCTTCATTGATGATCATACCAGATACACTTGGATCTATACTATGAAAAGAAAATCAGAAGCCTTAACTCAATTCATCCAGTTTAAAAACCTTGTTGAAAATAAGTTTGAAAAGAAAATAAAGGCCCTTCAATTTGATTGGGGAGGTGGGTTTAGAACCTTTACCAATCTAGCCCTACAATCTGGTATTGAAATGAAAATCTCCTGCCCTCATACTTCGGCCCAAAACGGTAGAGCTGAGACAAAACATAGGCATATTACAGAAATAGGTCTCACTCTCCTTGCTCACTCTAATATACCTTTGCACTGCTGGTGGGAAGCTTTTCACACTGCTACATACCTCATCAACAGACTGCCTACCCCAATCCTCAATAAAAAGTCACATTATGAAGTTCTAAATCACCAGCAAGTTGACTACAAATCCCTTAAGGCATTTGGATGTGCCTGTTTTCCGTGCCTAAGGCCTTACCAAAATCATAAGTTCTGCTTTCATTCCACCAAGTGTGTCTTTCTTGGCTTTTCTAATTAACATAAAGGTCACAAGTGTCTCAGTCTTACTGGTAAAATCTATATTTCCAGACATATTATCTTGAATGAAAACGAATTTCCCTTCATGTCTAGATTCCTTGATAAAAGAAGCAATTGCCAAACTGAGGATACTATCATTCAGCCTTTTAACAACCTTCAAAATCTTGATTCTACCTATTCAATTGATATAGTCGCTCCTAGTGCTGCCCCAACAGATAGACCTTCGAGTACTGAGGAGTTGGAAACATCTGAAAATGAATGACTGGAGAGGAATGTAAGTGAAGTGCAAAGGGCAAATGAAAATGAAACAATAAGAGAAGATCATACTCAACTGGAAATTCAAAATGAAAATGCTACTGCTGAAGAAGAGCAGGATGAAGCAAATTGGGGCAAATTCAAGGTGGAACTGAATTGAGCAGGCAGAACATTGAGCATCCCATAGTTACCAGAGGCAAAGTAGGTATTTTCAAACCAAAGGTGTATTCAACCCTTTGCAATGTATTCAACTCTTTGTAATGAGCACAGAAATAGGCAAGAAAATTCTGAACCAAATGATATTCAGGAGGCTTTGGCAAGCAAGGAATGGAGAAATGCTATGACAGATGAATACAATGCTCTCTCGGAAAAAAAATGGAAGCTTGTACCACCATCCCTCAGTCACAAAGTCATAGGCAACAAGTGGATGTTTAAAATCAAACGAGATTTCGAAGGAAAGGTGTCAAAACACAAAGCTAGGCTGGTTGCAAAGGGCTTCCTTCAGACCTCGGGGGTTGATTATCATGAGACTTTCATCCCTGTAATTAAAGCTTCTACGTTAAGAATAATCCTCACACTTGCAGTTTCAAGGAACTGGAGTATTAGGCAGGTAGACATCAATAATGCGTTTCTGAATGGCAGATTGGAAGAAGTGTACATGAGTCAACCTGAAGGCTTTATCGATAAAGCTAATCCTACCTTCATATGCAAGCTTGAGAAGGCTCTCTATGGATTAAAGCAAGCGCCATAGCATAGTATGAAAAGCTCAACAAAACACTTCTAGAATGGAAGTTTACGAAATCAAAGGCAGACTGTTCTTTATTCTTCTACAAAAATCAAAGGCAAGTAATCTTTGTTCTAGTATATGTTGACGACATTGTGATCACTGGTAATGATCACCATATGCTGCAAAGCTTCATTGATAATCTGAACAAGCAATTTGAGTTAAAAGATTTGGGTGAGTTGTATCAATTTCTGGGAATTGAAGTTAGAAGGGATGAATCAAGGATGTGTCTCACTCAAACTAAGTACACAAAGGACTTGTTAGAAAGGTTCAATCTTTTGCACCTAAAGCCGTGTGCAACTCCAATGACTGCTGGTAAATATATTTCAAAGGATGAAGGTGAAACCATTACTGATCCAGCCATGTATAGGAGTGCTATTGGAGGCTTACAATACCTGGCTCATACCATACCTGATATAGCTTTCTCAGTAAACAAGCTCAGTCAATTTCTTCAAAATCCCCCAGACATACATTGGAAGGTAGTCAAAAGAGTTTTCAGATACCTAAAAGGAACAATCAAACAAGGTTTGTATCTAAAGAAGTGAAAGAATCAGCATAACTGGGTTTGCTGGTGCGGATTGGGCCTCTTGCCCCGATGATAGGAGGTCAACAGCAGCATATTGCATCTACTTAGGAGACATCTTGATTGCTTGGTCCTCTAAGAAACAATAGGTTGTAGCACGATCCAGCACCGAATCAGAATATAGAACTTTGGCTCAAGCTGCAGCTGAGATAGCTTGGATTGAATCTCTACTCAAAGAGATTGATCTGTGTCCATTTTCATTGCCTATCCTATGGTGTGACAACCTTAGCGCTTGTGCTCTAGCTTATAATCCTGTCTATCATGCTCAAACCAAGCACATCGAGCTTGATATTCACTTTGTTCGAGACAAAGTTCTTGAAAGAAAACTAAGGATACAATACGTTCCCTCAACAGATCAAATAGTTGATCTTTTAACCAAGCCACTAGCCCAAACCAGGTTCCTGACTCTCAAAGACAAGCTAGGAGTAAAAGACTAAACTCCAACTTGAAGGGGGATGTTAAAATACATATCATTGCAGTACATTGGCTAGTCATTAAGCTCATCAACGCGCACCTGCTAGGACCACATTTATTCTGTTGCAATAGATTCTTTTATTCCTTTTTGTATCACATGGTTTGTTAATATTTGGCTTGCTCAAATCAACATCTATAAGGACACTTAATTAATTCATGTTATCTAATAGCTTAAATTGTTAAGTATTATATATATTCTAACGTTCCAAAGTGGCATCAAGTTCTTCATGTACGATACTCGTACAGGCATAAATAAGGTCCCTATAGTTCTTGCTGGCACATGAAAGGAAAAACTGAAAACTTATACATAGCCTGTGAAGTTTTTTTCTACTGCTTCCACTTTGATTACTCCTTTTTTATATTACTAATAAAATGTTGGGGATCGGTAGATGATGGTGGTGGTAAAGAGGTGCCGACCTAGTTGGGACACCCAAGTGTATATGTTGATTCCTGTTCTTAACAATCTTATGCTAAAAAATAAGTGAAACTGCATGCATTTTCAATGAAACTTGTAGACTTTAATATCGTTGAATGTATTTACTAAAGTGGAAAAAATAAAATCATGCTATTGAGTTTCGTATTTGTTACAAAGCATGCATTAAGTCATACCATTCAGTTGGCTATTCGATACCAAACACGCATTCTATTTATAAAATGTCAGATTTTGATTTTGTCCTCCCTTGGTTTAATTAGTTGAAAACATTGTTCTCCCTGTTATATTCTGTAGCATGACGCAACTAATTGAAAGGCATAGAAGGCAATCAGAGAACTCGAACAAATTAGGACAACCATCTATCCAACTTCAGGTGAGATCACACCATTTATTGACAATTCAAATTTAAATTTGTCATTTGTGTTTATACTTTATATACTGAAATTATAACAAGAAAATATTGAATAAGGCTTCTGCATCGAATTAATGTAGTCAATTTAAACATAACATATGAGGTTAAATATTGCAAACAAGATTGTTTCCAGCTCATGAAATGTAGATTTATGTTTTAATGTATTTACCCCCATATGCTCAATTAAATCCATGATGCAATTAGTCCCGTTTAATTTAAGATTTTAATTTTTATTACTTTATTTATTAGTCTTCTATCATCATATGTTTAGTTGGAGTTTTATTAGGATTATGACTTTAATAAAAAATAAGTAACTTTTCTAAAGTTTGTTTTGCTTAAAAGTTTGGTTAGGAGTAATTCGGTGTTATAATTGTGTTGTGGGATGGTTGATTTTGAATGTGAATAGAAAGTTTGAGGGTTTTCTTCAATTAGCCACCTAAATGGTCAATTTGTGCAAGCATTTTCTTTTTAAAACCCGTATTTGTTATTGTTTATGCTTCCGCTACCATCGGTTAATATCATAGCCTAGTCTATGCTTCTAACAATGGATCGACGAGGACAAGTTGGACGTCGTGGTGCTATGATTGATATTGGAAACCGTAGACATGATCTAATACATATCTACTAACATCTTGAAGTCGTGGCACAAAAGGTGGCCAAATTGATTATCCCTCGACAATAGATGGTGGGGTGACCTTTCTGGTGCAATGGTGGGTTTAGTCACGAGCTTAATTGTGGATAGGGTTTAATTATGGGATTGGAGAGCAACTTCCATGGGGACAACGATTCAGATTGTTGTGCAGATGTTAAGATTAAATCTGACAAAAAATCATCAATCTTCGAGGAAAAACTCGTGTCGAGATTCTCGAGAAGTTTGAGAAACTCAGTATGGATTGATAATTGACTTTGAAATTCAATTCTTAATGTCAAGGGATGACTATCATGAAAATATGGTAGTAGGTAAAAAATGAAATCACAATTATGCAAATGAAATATTCCACACTTAAATGGTCAGTTTGCAGTTGAGGCCACGTGGTTGAGTAAGTCATAGGATGAAATACACTTCTTGAACATTTGGAAGTTCCAAAATTTTGCAATGCAATAACTTCGAATGTTTGGTGAATTTTTTGGGATACAATGGGATAGAAATGAAAAAATTCTATTTGTTACTCAATTTTTAAATATTTATAGAATCAAGATATATGGGATAGGATAATATCTATGTCATGGACATATCAATCGAATCACTGTCCCTTTAAGGTGTTGGATGAGCGACAACAAATTCGATGACGAATCTTCTCCAACCCAAGGAGAATGATGCTAGTGGATCTTTCATTTAATATAATATTTTATTATTTCATTTTTGTTATTGTTAATTAATTAGTCTTTTATCATTTTTGTCTAATAGGTACTATATTTTGATCAAGAATTTAATCAAAATAATAAATTTTCTAGAGTTTAATTTGCTTTGAAAGTCTAGTTAAGAGTTTTGTGTAAGTTTAGTTGTAAGATGATTGATTTTGAATATTAAATTAAAACCTGAATTCTCTTTTAAGTTATTCACCTAAATGGTTAATTCGGCAAATTCTTTTTATAATTTCGTTTTTGTTATCCTTTATATTTCCGCGTGCATCAAATTCTCATAAAATAACCCAATTCCATATTTGAGAAATGTTATTGATTTTAACAAAGTATGTAATTTGTACCAGGCAAAATAAAAATTATATGTTAAATGACTAGGGTTATTAAGAACTCGTTAGCAATCAGTTTCTAATTGCCTACTCTACTCAAAACAAATAAATTCATTAGCTTGAAATTTATCAAGTCTTGAATTTCACGCCTTTGGAGCTTGCTTTAAACTATAAAAGGTTTTTTTCAACTTCAAAACCTTGTCTTCGTACCCTTTCACAACATATCCATGAGGTTGTAGTATGTATGCATCTTATTGCAAAAATTTGTTCAAAAATATCGATTTAACATTCATTTTTTGAATATTCAAACCATTTTCTGCTGCCATAGAATCAATAAGTTATTTTATTTTGTAACGAGCTACTGGAGCAATTACTTTGTCATAATTGTCATCATGTTTTTTATTGTATCCTTTAGCTACTAACCTTGTTCTGTAGCGTTTTATTTCACCATTTACATTGTTTTTTTCCCTTAAAAATCCATTGGACTCCCATCGGCTTTTGATCATTAGGTTTCGTGGTTAACTCTGAAGAATCATTCTTATTAATGGCTTCGACCTCTTCGTTCATGGCTTTCTCCTTAATAATTTCGAATAGATTCATCAAAATCAATAGCCCCATGATCAACAAATAGACAAAATAAGTATCATCGTAAATATCCTAAAGACTTCTAAAACGATTTGATATTTTACTTGAGGATGATGATGATGAAGATATATCTTGACCATATCTTGGTGATGGAGTTGATGGTGTTAGTTGAGGCGGAATCACGTCACCTTGTTCTTCAATTACTCTTTCTTTATCTTGTATCGCGTAATAAACAACTAGCCTAGCCGCTGACTTAACGACAAAGAGAAAATGGTTCCCCAATTGGTTAGGATGAGATCATTGATAATATGTCCCAACTTACGTACATTGATTTTGCTTTAGTACGGTATTGGAAGTTCTTACTTGAGAGAAAACTTCTAGAATGACATTCGTTGGGGGCGAGTAAAAAAAGGGTAATAATAGTACTATGTGGGCATCCGAGTCCGAAGAAGAATAAGCCATTTCATGCAAGAGAAAAAGCCAGATAGACAACAACTATGAATTCTCTTTTAAGTTATTCACCCAAATGGTTAATTCGGCAAATTCTTTTTATAATTTGGCTTAACTCTGAAGAATCATTCTTATTAATGGCTTCGACCTCTTCGTTCATGGCTTTCTCCTTAATAATTTCGAATAGCTTCATCGAAATCAATAGCCCCATGATCAACAAATAGGCAAAATAAGTATCATCGTAAATATCCCAAAGACTTCTAAAACGATTTGATATTTTACTTGAGGATGATGAAGATGAAGATATATCTTGATCATATCTTGGTGATGGAGTTGATGGTGTTAGTTGAGGCAGAATCCCTTCACCATGTTCTTCAATTACTCTTTCTATATCTTGTATTGCGTAATAAACAACTAGTCTAGCTGCTGACTTAACGACAAAGAGAAAATCATTCCCCAATTGGTTAGGATGAGATCATTGATAATATGTCCCAACTTACGTACATTGATTTTGCTTTAGTACGGTATTGGAAGTCCTTACTTGAGAGAAAACTTCTAGAATGACATTCGTTGGGGGAAAGTAAAGAAAGGGCAATAATAGTACTATGTGGGCATCTGCGTCCGAAGAAGAATAAGCCGTTTCATGCAAGAGAAAAAGCCAGAAAGACAACAACTGATAAGAATCAACATATTCGTCGTAGCGAGGAAGGATCCAATCCTAAAAATTCTTCTACCTTTGATCCAGTGGTAAGCCTTTCACTTTCCTGAAGAAATTATAATTTTGCCAATCTTAACATCTCTACTTTCTATCATCTTCCTATTTATTGTATTGTAGAGCCTGTAGCCATTTGATCTTAAATCGTAGCCTATTATTTTTAACTCTTATTATCCAGTTTTTTTTTTCTTTCTTTCGAAATATGAGATAAAGCAATGCCCTCGAAAATTCGAAAATGTAATTTACTTTTCTTGAATTCATTCCATGCTTCTTGAGAAGTCATTTTACACACTTCGGTGGGACAACTATTCAACAAATACACAGCATACTACGCAACTTCGACAAATGATTTTGTCGGCATCTTTTTAGTTTTCAACATACTTCGAGTAATTTTCACGACAGCCCTGTTCTTTTCTTTGCTACGCCATTTTGTTGAAGAGATATAGAAATAGTCAAAGAATGATACATGCCATGATCTTAACAATTTTTTTTAAACGTGTTGCTAATGTATTCACCACCACGATATGAGCATAATATTTTGATCTTATGACTACTTTGATTTTCCACCATCGCCTTGACCTTGAAAGCCTCAAATGCATCAGACTTTTCTCTAATAAAATATACCAATATTTTGATCGATCTACAAAAATTCATATGCACTAATTCAATTAGCCTCGATGATCGAAAACTTGCTTCTTTCAGTAAAGCCTTTTTGATTGCTTTTCCTAGAGACACTTTTCGTAAAATTGATTTGGATGATAAATATATGACCGTCGCTTCACCATATCTCACTTTGTCATGACATTTAGATAGTCAAGTCTTAAATGCCATAGATATGATGGAACTTTGACCATGCCTACAAACACTCTACTTTTCCACTTTGAATATTCGACAAGATTCTTTATTATTGGAACTCTTAACAATCAAGTTTTCATTGCAATCTCGTATTATCATTTGTAGATTTTTTTATAAGGATATCATATCCTTGGTCCAAAAATTAGCTCAAACTAAAAATGTCTTCATAAAAGGAATATAGTAAACAAAGAAAACTTATTTTTCTATGTTCTTCATTTGAATGAGAATTTTACTTTTACCTTTGACTTACACATTTGAATCATATGAAAATGTACCATGGTCGTTTAGTTCTTCAAGTTCCTTGGAGATAGATTTGTCTCCACACATATGATTCAGAATTATTCCCCCATGTACTTTGTATGCCAATAGTAAAGTTCCTTTTCCCTTGTCTTTATTTTCAACGTAGTTGGATTGCTCCACGTTATTCGTGCATTCACATGCAAAATGACCAAGTTTATGAAAATTATATCATTCAATTTGAGATTTAACATATCTCCAACCATTATTTTTCCTTCATCTTCTTTGAGATTGTGTGTTCCTCACCGAGAACTTAATTTATTTATAACTGTTTTCCCTTCATTATATGATGAATGCTGGAAATTTCTATCTCGTTTTCTACAACCTCTTTCATATCCTCTTACCTCTTTAGTTCGTATTTTTCTTCTCATCTGTTCTTTCTACTTTTTGAACCTTCTCCTTATAAGTTTGTACTGTACTCACGACTTCATAAATAGTTATTCCTTTCAAGTCTTTTGATTCTTCGATTGCCGGTACACTAAAATTGAATTTTTCATGTGAAAGTCGAAAGTTTTTCGATCACTTCATTATCATTTTCATCTCTGATAACCACCATACTAGCAAATAGTAATGTGAAATTAATTCAGATTCCTTCATGGATAGAACTTCACATTCTTCTCTCAAATATTGAAGACGAATTTTTTTTTGACTTTGTTCACACCTTTGTATGTATTCTGAAAAATCTCCATGTTTACTTTGAAGTGGTAGCATTTTAAACCTTTTGAAAAATCGTATCAAGATCTTGATGAATCTTGCAAAGAGACTTTTGATCCTTCATCTTAGTTACTTGTTTCAAATCTCTCTGTGCTTAAGATATGCCTTCTTTATTTTAAGGTTCAAAATCTCTCTACCAAGTCCCAAAAATTTAACTTCCAACATATACATTCATACGAATATACCACGTAGTATAGTTATCATTAGTGAATTGAGGAACGTGAAGAGAATTATTGATTGTCATATCTTCTTTCCACAATCTTATAAATCGCTCTAATGCAATTTTTGTTGAAAATAATATTTAAGAGAAAACTCAACTTCGTTTCTTAACTCTCCGAAATGACTCGTGGAACAACTTTTAGAAGAGAAGAAATATTTAAGAGAATACTCAACTTCATATGTTAACACTCCAAAATGACTTGTGAAAAATGAGTACAATCACTGACCTTTATAAACTTCAGGAAACATGCATTTAATCTAATACATGTACTAGTTATTAAAGGCAAACTAATCCCAAAAATAATTCATGCATTTTTCTAGTACACGAATAAACTAGTTGATTAATGTTTGCAAGAGTAATCTTAAAAGACACGAGTGAACTTGATTAAATAAATGATGAACTTGACTAAATAAATGAAATTCATATTTCAACAATACAATGTCAAAAACATGAAAATGTTAGAAGTGAAATTTATTATGTTTGCATTTTCTTCTCAGGAAAATGACAGCTATGGCGTGCTCAGCAAGATGATCATGGATAGGACTCGTGAGTTAAGGTAAAATATGGCTGTAAATTAAAGATGTTTTCTGAGTATTCAAGTGCATTGCACAGTTGAGACACAATTGTAATTTTGATAGGCAGCTTAAGGGAGAAGAGCTCCAAGGACTTGACATGGATGAGTTGATCAAACTAGAGAAAAAGGTACAAGGAGTACTAAACCATGTTGTGGAAACAAAGGTACTATTGCATACAATTTGGTGTTTTCTAGTGCTTCATATTTAGAATTTTTGAGCTAACATCTTTGTCTTTCCATGGGGAAGAATGACAAATATTTTAAAGAGATCAATTTGCTCATGAAAAAGGCAAGACCTCAAACTTTATCATTTGATGAAAAAAATAATCATGCTGCTCCTTGTTAAGACATAAATCCCATAAAAAGATAAAATCAAGTAAAGGGTTGGGCTAATTATTTAACTTTCCTGATATGCAGGAATCTAAATTAATGGAAGAAAATGCTAAGTTGAAACAGCAAGCAGAAGTGAGTCGATCTTTTATTTTCCAAAATTATATATCATTTCTCGCACTGCATGCATTGGAATTCTGTAGTAAATTTCGCGTTCTCAAGTCATTGAGTAAACTGTTTATGCAGAAATCTGAAGGTACTGTAAATGGTATTGAGCAAAGCAATCAATCCGAGCGCATCACTAATTCTCATGGCTCTGATACTGCCCTCAGGCTTAGGTACTTAACGTAATTCAAATTATTTTTCATTAGATTCATGTAACCTCATTCAAATTTACACCAAAAAGTATTGTCGTAGTTAGGTGTAGTCTCAGATCTTTTTGACTGTATGCTTATGTTAATTTGGCAGCTTTCCTTTCCCCATCTGAAGATGATGCCATTGCCAGGAGACTACAGCCCAGAAGAATAATTGTCCATTTTTCTTAATAGGATATAATTGTGAATTATAGTGTGAGTGAATTGCGTGTCAGGGGACCAATGTTGTGGATTTTCTTAAAACATTAAAATCTTTTGTTTTGAATTTGCTTGTGTTGTATACTTAAGCTAAAATCGAGCTATTGAAATCATATGTATGGAAATTATATGATGTACACAAAAGTGAAATTTTGACTGCTTAACATGAAATTGAAAGAGGATATTGTTCTAATTTTTGAACAGGGGTGAACTCAAATTTGACGATTTAAAAAAAAATAAAATTGTTAAATAGATCTTTTATATTGTCAATCAAAGTAAATGTTACTTTGATAAAAATGTCATTTTTATTAATTTGGCATTTATAGTATTTTGTGAACTATATTTCATTAATATCCATATCAACTAAAGAGCTTAGTCCTTGCAAATTTGGGCTTTGTTTATTTCGATTTTTCTTGGAGTGGATTTTAGATTATTTTATTTAAGATAAAAATGGGTATAAATATTACAATTCAGTTGAATTTAATATTAGTTTGTAACTGTTGTAATAATTCGGCTTGTGAAACCAAAATAAGCCTCCGTTAATTTCTCTTTTTGTCTCTTTCTCATTTTTCATTTCATCCATACATTCTCACATCAATCATTATTCCAAAATTTCTATTCTCCTCAAAATTAGATTCAAACGCAAGATAAATTAATTATATTGATAGAATTGTATTTAGCCTTTGTTTGGTTCACATTAAAATTATCGTTCTCATTCTTCTACTCATTTTTAATCACATTTTTCAATAAAATAATATTTTTCATCACATCAATAATTTTTTCTTCTTTTTCACTCACATATTCTCATTTAATTTATTATTTCAGAATACATTCTTTTAAAATAATGTGGCTCAAACACTACCTTAGTATTTATTAAGGTTAACAAAACTAACGTCCCGCAAAAGGTAATTTCAGTGGACCTATATCCACCCGTGCAATATGCAAACCAACTTTATTGATATGTTCTCTGCCACTTCACTTGGTTTCTGATTTCAGATGCTCTCTACTTTCTCTCTCTAGGGTTTAACTTCTGCAGGTGGAGGTTCTCATCTCTTCCCTGAATTAGTAAATGTGAGACCGTTGAAGATTTCTATTTTATGCAAAAAAACAGAATGATTCTTCTCACAGTGATTTCCATTTTTTTTTGGGTTGTGGTTTCAGATTCTGTATTGTACTTGAAAATATGCTTTGCTTCTCTTTTCCTTATTTTTGTCAAAGATCAATGTTCTTTCTCGTCCACCGATCTCTATATATTTCGTATTGTACTAACGACATATACATATAATATTTGTTTGCAGTGAGTGTACTGTGAAAATGGTGAGACTGAAGATGCAGATCAAGAAGATCGATAACTTGACGGCACGCCAAGTGATCTTTACAAAGAGGAAGAGGGGTTTTCAAAAAGGCTCAAGAACTCTCTACTATGTGTGATGCTGAAACTGCCCTAATCGTTTTTTCTGCCACTGGAAAACTCTTCCATTATTCTAGCTCAAGGTTTTTTTATTTCCTCTCCTTTCTCTATTGAACCCACACACAAGAAGCTATTGGGGTCGAAGCTTTGATGCTTTTGACTACTGAGTTTCAATCACTCAGCAGCTAGTTTTGTACTGAAAACTATAGATTTTAATGGGTTAAGACCACAGAAAACTTCTATGAGCTGGTACGAATTAAATGGGCAGTAACGGAAATATTAGGTAGAAAATGATAACTTGGATATGGATGCAAATAATCTAGAAGTGTGATACAAAGTATCAAACAAAACTAGGGTGGAATGGTACACAGATATATCACGTGTTTTGATAATTAATAGTGGGTGAATGCCATTGAATATGTTCATTTTGAGAGTCAATGTGGGACTGTGGGCAGTACAAGTCATGAGTGCAATAGTGCCCTGACTGAGAGGTGGCTTGGTTTATGTGTTTTGTGCTAAGGTTCATGTTTTGTACCTTAAACACGTGAGAAATTTGTTGTTTTCCTATCTGATATTGTCTTATCGAGAACATACTCCTTTCATATATCTTATGTTTTAAAATAATGTGGTTTATAAATGTCTTAAGTTGAAGTCTTTAGCCGCCCATAATTGTGAAATTTGTGCATGCCTTGTGTTTTCAACAAGAAGATACTAATTCCAGCTTGCACTAGTTTGGATTGGTTCAAAAATCCATTGGTTTACTATTAAATCAGATATTGTCTCTAACAGTTATATTGGTTGTTTGTATTGCCTAAAGAAGATAAATCTATTAAAGTTTCAAACGTTGGCATCTCACATCTATGTATGGAATGGAAAATCGATCTGTGTATAAGAATCTGCAAGTAATTATCAACATCTATGAGGCACTTAATCAATTCATGTTATCTAATAGCTTAAATGGTTAACTAATATATATTCCGACATTCGAAAGTGACATTAAGAAAATATTTAGTCCTCATAAACGCGCAAGGTCCCTATAATTCTTACCGGCACTTGAAAGGCAAAACTGAAAACTTATAAATAGTTCTACTTGCTTCCATTTTGATGTACTCTTTCTTTTTGATATTAACAATAAAATGTTGGGGATTGGTAGATGGTGAGACTGGTAAAGAGGTGCCAACCTAGTTGAAATATCCAAGTGTACATATTAATTCCTTTTTTCAACAATCTTACACAAAAATAAGGAAACTGCATGCATTTTCGACGAACCTTCTAAATATAATATGGTTGAATATATTTACTAAAGTAAAAAAATTAGAGAAAAAAATTCAAACGAGGCGGCGTACCCGTTACTCTTACCCGCCCAGGGCGAGGTACCCGTTACCCATACCTTCCCTGGGGCGAAGTTACCACCCCGTCCTCGACCCGAATACCCTATTAAGCGGGTAATCCCTGCCCCGTTCGGGGGCGGTGCCCGCGGGTATCGGATTTTTTAGCCATCCCTAGATGTCCATATTGGTTATCGCCCCAATAGATGGTGAGTGACCTTTATGATGATAGGCGAGAGGCACGAGCTGGTGGCCATGACGTGTGTGTTACGGCTACGAAAGTTTGGTGTAATGGTTGGTTTAGTCACGAGCCTGCCTGTGGGTATGTTGCTTATGGAAATAAAAATGGAAAGTTTTCCGGTAATTGAGGGGCTAACGTTCGTTATAAGATTGGCGAGCAACCCTCGTGGGGACAACAATTAAGATTGTTGTATGGATTTTAAAATGGAGTCTAACACAAATTTATCAATCTTCGTGGAAGAACTAATGTCCAGATTCTAGGGAAGTTTGGGAAACACCATATGGATCAACATACTCATTTTGAGAATCAATTCTCAATGTCAAGATATGACCTTCATGAAATTATGGCAGTTGTAAAATTGAAACCACAATGATGCGAATGAAATATTTTGCGCACTAAAATAGTGCGTTTCTAGTAGAAGGCCACATGGTCGAACAAGTCATAGGATACACTTCTTGGAACATTTGTAAATTCCAAAATTTTACCACACAATAACTTTGAATGTTTGGGAGAATTTGTTGGGATACAATGGGATAGAAGTGAAAAAATTCAATTAGTTGCACAAGGTTTTCAAGATCTTTTGAATCAAGATATATGGTTAATATCCATACCATTGACTTATCAATTGAATCACATCCTTATGAGGTGTCGGATGAGCGGTGAAAGATTCGAGGATGAATCTTCTCCTAGCCGAGGGGAATCATGAAAGTGGTTCCCATTTAATGTAATATTTTATTGTTTAATTTTATTCTTGTTAATTAGTCTTTTATCATGTTATGTTTAATGGAATTTTATTTTGATTATGAATTTAATCGAAATAGATATATTTTTCAAAGTTTGTTTTGCTTTAAAAGTTTAATTAAAAGTTTTGTATAAATTTTTTATGATTTTGTTGTAAGATGATTGATTTGAATATTGAATTAAAACTTGAATTCTTTATTTTTTTTCCCCGATTATTCGCCTAAGTGGTTAATTCATACATAAATTTCTTTTTATAATTTTGCATTTGTTATCCTTTATACTTTCGCTTGCATCAAATTCTAAACTAACAATCCAATTCCTTAGTTCAGAAATGTTACCAATTGCCTAATCATTCTTCTTCATTGCTCTTATCTCTTTATTCATGTCATTCTTCCATTTATCACCTCGAATGACGTCATCGAAATAAATAACTGCATGATCAGCAAATATGCAAAATAAAGTTAATTTGCCAAAATGTTGAGATATCTCCTTGGTATCTTCATAAATCTCCCTAAAACTTCTAAAATGTGGTATTTTTCTTGAAGATGAAGGTATATCTTGACCATACTTTGGAGGTGGAGTTGATGGTGTTAGTTGAGGCAGAATCACATCAATTTGTTCATCATCATCAAAGGGGAAAAAATGTAGTTTTCATCTTGCCGATTTTGCTTGTTTCAATATCGAATTCAACGTCATTAATAATGATCACCTACTTGTTCATGGGGTTGGAAAGCTTGTAACCTCTTGATATTGAACATAGCCAACTAAGATATATTTCTCTCTTGCATCTAGTTTGGTCCTTCTTTCTTTCAGAACATAAGATGACACAACACTCTCAAAAATTCGAAGATGTAATATACTTGGTTGGAACCACTCCGTGCTTCTTTAGGAGTTATTTTGCACACTTCGGTGGGACAACGATACAACAACTATACAGCACAATGAGCAGCTTTAGCCTAGAAATTCTTTTGCATCTTTTTAGTTTTCAAAGTACTTCAAATCTTTTTCATCAATCTTAATCTTTATCTTTGCTACACCATTTTGTTGAGGAGACATAGGAAGAGTAAAAAATGGTAAATACCACAACCTTCACAAATATTCTTAAATGAGTTACTAATATATTTACCATGACGATCTGAGTATAAGGTTTTGATCTTGTGACCACTTTGATTTTTCACCATCACCTTGAAATTC